GCCGAACAAGTAGCTGGCGCCCAGTAGTTGTTTTCTCCCTCCTGCCCCTCCCACCCCCTTGCCAATACCCTGTCCTCCCGTTCCCTGATCCCCCTCGCCCACCAGCCGTTTAAAGATCCCTTGAAACCCCGCGTGCTCCTGCGTGAGCCCAACGTTTATCTTTTCGTTTTCGTTTGATTATATTTCGGGTACTATTTCTTTCTTAATAGCTCGATTGAGTATATTTAGTTTCATAGTTACTTTTCTTTGTATTACTCTGTTAGTCATCTCAAGTATACATTATATTATTTCTATTCTACGCCGTGTCCCCTTTCTTGGTTTCCCTCCCCCCACCGCGTCGCGATAGCTAATTCGAGAAGACCCTGGGCGGACAAAATCAGCCCAGTACGTCACAGTAGTCATCGACATTATAGAAGCTTTTGTTAGATTCAATGTTAGATAGTGAAAATTCTCATGTTTGAAAACTTTTTGTTGAACTTACCCAATTTTTTGTAGAATATTTCGATGCTATTTACTTCTTGTTCGCGTTTCTTGCAGTCTGTTGATGCCACTTTATGCCTATAATGGTCCTATGGACTATGGACTTTTATGTGGGTTGAAATTCCATAGGCCGTAAGCAGAATGCATTCTGCTAATGGCTTATGGAATTTTATGTGCTCCGGCCTTTAAAGTGAAAATTGGAATGGTTGGCAAGCGGATACGGAAGAGGAAGAGGAAGGGGAAAATGATAACTGTGTCAGGACGGAGGACGTGAGTGGAAAAAACAAAGAGAGAAGGGGCAAAAGAAGAGAATTAATGCAAAAATAAGACTTTATGTTTCATAAATACTAACTTTTTAATTATTAAAAAAGAAAATTTTATTAATATTTAAAAATTATTAATTTATTTGAAAAAGAAAACTCAAAAATTATAAAAATATTGTTTTAATATCAAAATTTTGAAGAACAAAACTTAAAAACTAAAACTTAAACATTACATAAAACTAACTACTACGTCAATTGAACCATCAAAAGCTGATTTCGAGAACACATAGATTATTTTAATTAATTACTATTTTGATTGTCTATCTGTTCTCGAAATCATCGTTTGATGATTCAATTAACGTATTACATGTTGCAAGAGGGGGCACCTCCGCCCTTGTCCCCCCTTCCGCCCCTCTTGGGGCACCGCCACACACCGCGGCGCTACAACCCACCATTTCCGCGATGGCGCTTGCAGCTTGCCCCTCGTTTGGGCTGTTGCTGCTGCTGTTGTTTTTGTTGTAGTTGTAATTGTAATTGTAGTTGTTGCTGCTGCTGCTGCTGCCGCCGCCGGTGACGGGCCAACCATCTCCGGTTACTGGCCTCGCCACCGACATGTTTTTTTGTTAAAGCTGTAATATTTAAAAAAATATTCAATAAAAACATAATTGATATATAAGTTATATGATATACATATAACAATTTCGCATTAAAACATATACCAGGAGTGGCTGCAGCGAGGCCCTGGACTAGCTCCATAATAGTAGAAACTTGCCGTTCCAGGGCCTCAAAGCGCGCGTTTTCTTGAGGTAAACAGGCGACTTGTCCCTCCTGAGCTTCATCTAGCTGCGGCTGCGGCAGCGGTGATAGTGGTGGTGGTGGTAGCAGTTTTGTTTCCTGGTCAGATTGTTGATTCTGACCAGACTGGCTTACTTCAACTTGGTCAAAATGGACAATCTGACCAATTTCTCGAACGTCGTCTGAGAGGCCCTTTTCATTTAATTGGAAATTCACTGAAACAGGAAATTAAATAATTTTTATATTATTATTTACAGTAATTTGAAATATGAAAGGTTCATGCATGAGTAAATAAACATAAGATAAAACAAAAATTTATATGTGATCAAGAATGTTTAAGTTTGCTTTTTATATTTGATATTTTATTTCTGCCTTTAACCATTTAAATGTATAGAATGCACTGTATTTTATTGTTATACCCCTCCTATGTTTTTATACTTTTATGTTCATAAGAAAATAGAAAATAAAATCTTAATAAATGTAATTGTGAATCACAAAGTATAGTATAGATTTTTAAATGAATTAACAGATGTTAGATTTAGTAAAGTAATAAAAGTAATTTTCAAATATTAGCAATTTTCAAACCTCCTACTCAACTGATTATCTACTTCCTTCAATTCAAGATGTATATAGAATAGTGCATCATGTATACAAGATAATCTTAGATTAACAAATTAATGAAAGTTTGAATTTTATTCTAAAGTTTCAACAAATAATGTTACCACACGTTACTTTCATGTTTCGTCAACTTAATTTGATTAAATATAAAAATAATAAAATTGTACAATATTCTTTTAAACAATTTGTATGCAATAACATTTAACTCGTCATTTATCTGGCAGAGTGTATTATATTGCAGAACTGAAATTTTTCATTCAAACATGGTGCACAATTTCTGATACAATCAACTATAATAAAGAGGTTTATACAATTGAGGACCAGATGCCATATTCGTTATAACATAAAGATTTACCATAATTAATACTAACCTATATTATATCTCACCATATCACTTGAGTGATTTCTTTAAGCCATCGAAGGGATGGTAATAAATAGAATATCAAAAAAAATTCTTTAATATAGACCCATATAGCTTTGCATTTAGGTAAATATTCATTCTTTTATGAATCCAATCACATGTAACGTTTATTAATCTTTTTCCATATAAGATTTGAACATTAATTCTAACTATTTTTTGGTTGACGTTTGACTATACATTTAATATAAATATGTTGAATAAAAAATATATATATATTAAGAAGCACATTTCTTTGATTTGAGATTTTAATTATATACTTAATTAATCATAAACATATGAATTTGCTTCTGGATCTTTCTAATAATTCCATACAAGATTATTTTAGGACATTAATTATAATTACCTTCTGATTGATGCTTAACCATAGATTCAAAGAATAAAAAATAGATATTTTAAGGAAGTTTCTTTGATTTGGGGTTTCAAGATTTCATACCGATTTACTTTTAGATCTTTCTAATAATTCCATACTAGCCTTCTTTTAGTAGTTTTCTCAAATTATAATTCAAGTAAACATATTTCAACTCGAAAGTACTAATAACAGAAACGTAGCCCGTGTTCACAATTATTTCAAAACTATTAAAAAACTGTTTAAACGTACTTACTGTTAGTAGCAGTGGCAATTGGTTGAAGAGAATGAACCGGGGGTCAGAGCAGCCAACTGTTGGGTTATAAGCTTTTCTCTCATTGGTTGATGGTCACGTTATAAAATTCGACCAATCAAACGAGTTTTCAAATCGAAAGTTCTTCCCAGGTAACAATATTTCGATGTTACGAAGAAGTCACCCGAATGTGTTACATACATATACAATCCACCAACAGGCATTTTAAAAATATTCGACATCCCAAAGTAGACTTTTGAACATAGATTAGCTTACAGATAACTTTTTAGTGGACACATATACCCCATTCGGATGACTTTTTCGAAACATTGAAAAAATTTAAACCTGGGTTATGCTGAATCGAACGGATTTTTTGAATAACTATACACTATACTTGAGCCATTTACAGATAATATATTTTTGAAGAAATAATATAGTCAACAAAAAAGTGAAACTTATTTGTAGCATATCTGCGTATTAGTAAAATGTATACGTACTGTGACGTGAATTTCGGAAATTCAGTCACAAAGATTGCTAGGAGTAGGGAACAAACATAATCCACCTGCAACGATCCTCCAAACGTCAGTCACCCGACATTCCAAAGACGACTTTGCTTGTCTTCTTTATCGTTTTGCACTCTGTTTCCGCCTGTCGTCCTTTCTGCTTATTTCTGTTTCGCCTTTCTGCTTTTTTCGTTTTTATTTTTATTTTTGAGCTTTCCTATTCGCACTCGCCTACCTTCTTTACCGTCCTGGGCAAATCTACGTCTACACCACGAGCACGAGGCTGACCGCCAAAGAGAGTTCCTGAGCTACCGGACGAGCGATCGACAGAGGCTGGACCAAACTGCTGTTCGTTCCGGAGGACTTCCGTGGAGCCAAGGAGACCCGGGATGGGATCCCTCTACTACTTCTGCCGGCCGCCCATACGGACCGCAAAAAGGGCCTTCGCCACTCGTGCCGCCGATAGGAGGAAAGGATAATCCTCTATCGTGCCGCCCAGTCGCCGAACGTTCCCTAGCGCTCCTGTTATCAGTGGCCCCCGGAGAAGAAACCAGGGCCTACTCTTCGCTGGATCCTGCTGCTCGCACCGAGGACTCACGATCGGCCGCACCAAGGATTCCCGCGCTCAGCTCGGCTCTCTCCGCCGATCTTCGGACTCTAGCGCCTAATGCTTCGTCTCTGGCTACCGTCAAGCGTTAGATTTACCTATTCTATATTATTATATTGTGTTATCGCTCTACCGTGCGAATTAGGAATTAATAAGTTATGGAGGGGGGCCCCTAGGGCTCTTCCTCTAGCGACGAATTCCGGCTCGTTCACTTACGTTTGGAGCATCTGAGCCTGTGGTCGATTTTTGCAAAGTACGGATAGTGATAAAAGACGATTCGTCCGACTACGATTTTCCGAGCTATATCTATTCCATTATACGGAAGGAAGGAAGGAAGTCCGAGGACTTATTTTGCTATTCAGTACTTTACCGATTTGGTGAGCACCTTTCGTTACCGTTATTTTGGAGATTTTGGCGAATCTAATTGAAGTAATCCAGTCTAGGCGCTTTGTCTCGACGGCAAATTTTCTCGCTTACCTGGATTGAATGTCGTTCCAGTCCCTCTAAGTAAAAGGACGATAGTGCCGGATACCGTTATCTTATTTCGTTTTTC